TACGAGAAGGCCTTTGACAAGGTGCCACATAAGTTGTTGCTTGCGAAGTTGGAGCACTTTGGAGTGCGAGGGCAATTATTAGGATTGATCAAAGATTTACTTAGCTAAAGGTACTACCAATAAGTACGAGTAAACGGAGCAATGTCGAACAACCACCTGGTTAGCAGCGGAGTTTTCCAGGGTTCTGTGCTGGGTCCACTGTTATTTACAGCCTACTTGTTTGATTTTGTGTATCTAGTTGAAACAAACGTGAAAAATTTTGCTGATGATGCCAAACTTTACGCCAACCCGAATCTGAGCGCAGCAGTATTGCAAGAGGATTTAAGGAGAGTCGAGAGGTAGGCAAATGTGTGGGGAATGAAGCTGAATTACTCCAAATGTACAGTGCACAGAATTGGTCCAAACAATCCCAACAAGGAATATATTTTAAACAATACAGTACTGTCAACAGTAACAGAGCAAAACGACCTTGGAGTGACAGTCACATCTGACTTAAAATGGGAAAGCCATATTGTAAAAATCTCTAAAAAAGCCAACTCTTTTGTACATTTAATCAAGCGCGCCTTCAAAGATCACTCAATTGAGATGGTAGGAAAGTTGAACAAAAGCTATGTAAGACCGAAGCTGGAATATGCATACACAGTTTGGAATCCCTACTATATAAAAGACATAGAACTACTGGAGAAAATACAAAGGGCTGTGACCAGAATTACAAAATATGACCTACATTGAGAGATTGGCAGTAGCGTGTCAAATTTTTTTGGGGCCCCCCCGCGAACTTTTTTTTGAGGCCCCCTATGTCACTATTATATTTTCCAAAAATAACCAACCCATTATAGTAAATATTTATACACAATATCATTATCTAATAGTTAAAAAACACAGCGAATTTTTGAAACTAAATTTATTTGTCGGTATAAAATTATTATATGTTATTATAATATAGGAGGGATGATTGAAAAGTTCTAAAAAAAATGTTCTTCTAATACAAGGAAAACATACAACAAATATTTAACTAATAAGTACAAATATATACAAATATCAACTCAAAACTCAAACGTAACAAGTGAAACAAAGACTCGCTAATTATCGGAAATTCCCATTAAAACGGGGAATAACCTATGGGAATTACTGAGGTTTCGACCAGCCAGGGTTAACAATTGTTTGGGCGTTCACATTTTTTATGTTCGAAAGAAATGGTGACAAATTAAATATGGATTTGAAATGTTTAAATGTGCATATTTGTATTTTTGAAGTTTGTTTGAAATAAATAGGTGTTACTTTTTCTTAGAGTATATTGGGGGCCCGGGGGCCCCCAATATACCGGGGGGCCCCCCGCGTGGCGGGGTCTGCGGGGCCGTTTGACACGCGCCTGGAGATTGGAGAGACTGCAACTAACAACACTGAGAGAAAGAAGACACAGAGGAGAATTAATAGAAACATTTAAAATATTAAGTGGACATTACACCTGCAATATTGCACATATTTTTTCTCAAAATGAAAACCCACAACTGCGAGGTCACTCGAAAAAACTAAACAAGGAAAAGACATGTAAGCTTCAGAGAAAAAACTTTCTTTCAAATCGCGTAGTCTTTTCTTGGAATACGTTAGCAGAAGATACAGTGTCAGCCCCCAGTTTAAACGCATTTAAAAATCGGTTGGATAGAGAGTTAAAACAAAGTGCATCGAGAATGACACATTACAGTGCCTAAAAAATAAACAGTAACTCTAATAAAATAGACAGTAGCTTCATCGGTTTCATTAACCGCCTGCTATTGGAACTTTACATGATTACATGATTACTTCAAATTATACGCCCTAGTTTATGAGATAGACCCTAAAATGCCCTTCAAGACTTTTAGGGACCATTTCGAGAATGTTCCTCACTCATTGTTCTACGGAACTTACTACCTCATGAGTTCAGGAACGATGGACCACGCCAAGTTGAGAACGTTGGTCCTGAAATTGAGCGAGGTAAAGGAACGCACCTTGATACAACAAATGACTGATCAAACCAGCCTACTTACATTGGACGAGATAAGGGGGCTGGTGAACAACCGGCGTAACGTAGAAATAGTCTTAGATACTGGATCAAATCGAAGTATAATTGCAAAATCGTTGATTGACAAAATCATACCCTCAAATGAGGGGATCTCTTTGGTGACCCTAGGTGAGGTGGCAATAGAATTTCCCCCTTGGGGATCCCGGAGGCTAAACTCATAATAGGGAAGATATCAGGATATACAATGTGTCCAAGATAAGGAGGGCCAGTATGGGGATCTGATGATATGGTGGCTCAAAGACGAAACTTCGGATTACAAATTTAATCATGCCAAATTGTAGAGGAGGAAAAGTGGCAATGAAGAAGTGCCATTTATTTTGAAATATCTCATCAAATAAGGTCAGGAAAAAATAAAATCGTTTTCGGCGAATTTCGGGTTTTCCTAAATATCTCCGACACTGTTTTCGAGATCCCCAATATGGGCCCTCCTTATCTTTGACACCTTGTATAGAGCCATTAGTAGTAGAAAAGCTCCCGAAACCCCTAATTTTAGGCACGGATTTTCTGTTAAAAAATAACGCGATAATTGACTTTGGGCTAAGAAAGGTCCATCTGAGAAATGGAGATGCTTACGCCACTCTAGATTTTTTAGATAAAAAAGAAGTAGTAGCTACCATATAGGAAAAAAGGTTAACTACTGTTCATGAAAGGGCTGAAAGGCAAATAATTGAGCTCCCACAGGAGCTTCTACAGAGCAGCGCGTAAACTTTGGCTGGTTCTACTTATTACACACACCTACAGGCAACAGAGGCAACCCTGTCCTTAGCGGTGGGGGCTAGGTGTCCCTAGCGGTCGGGGCTAGGTGTCCCTAGCGGTCGGGGCTAGGGTTGCCTCTGTTTCCAGACGTCCCGATTTCGGATATTTATGAAATAATTCAATAAAATTTTATGAAATAATTAGATAAAGGTATTAAATCAGTGAAATTAATGAAATAATTTAGTTAATTAATTCTAACGCTTGAATATTTTTTATTCAGGGACTGCGAACTTTTGCCACTCATCACTAATTTAAATTTGGGGGGCTAATTCCAGATTTGGGAGGGCTTAGCCCCCCCAAGTCCCCACCTAGAACCGCCTATGGATAGCAGTAATAGGTAAGTACCTACCTGTATTTTTTTTTAATGGTGTGATTTTTCGTTAAACAAGAAACATTCTTGCAGATTATTTTTTTAAAAAAAGTACAAATTAAACATTTGGTATATCTTAACTCCTAAAAATTAATCAACATTAAGTTTATAATATGGTCTTCAACTTTTGCTTGAAGGCAGTAATAATTACCATATGTTACGGGCCCCATACACTACGTTCTTTCTCTTTGGTTTTCATCGCCGCGATGTAACACGTCGTTCCAAAACCGAAGTGTGTGGTAGAAAAACACGACGGTATTCTACATGGTATTCTACCACACACTTCGGTTTTGGAACGACGTGTTTCATCGTGGCGATGAAAACCGGCGAGAAAGAACGTAGTGTATGGGGCCCTATATTAAGCAAAATGAAATTGAAGGAAAAGAAGTAAGAAATCTGACGACGACGTCCCTACTTGCATTTACTGAAATGTCTGAGTGGAGCCACACTGAATGGGCTGGAATCACTCTCCAAACCAAGACATTTATCTGCGAAATATGTTAAATAAAAATTGATTTCTGGTTGAATGTCCAGTGAATATATAGGTATACATACATATAAAATCATAAATATTTTTTTTTTTGTAGTTTAGGTTTTGTAACTAAGTAGTATACAGTGTATTAGTCAAATAGAATAAATTCGATAATAAATAAATGGGGGCCTTTACGAAAAAACACCCGGACACGTAGATTGTTTTTTGCTTAAGATTTTCTCACACCAATTTTTTTAATGAACACCTGCGCTGTTATCAACTTTTTTTTTAAATAGTACCCCCTGTATGTTATGACATTTCTGGATTCTGCGGAAAATTCTAGACTTATATTTCATGTACAATGTCCTATACTTATCTTCAACTGTTTCGGAAATATTGACAGTTGAAAATTGGCTTTTTTGCAACTATCACAGGCTTGTAAAACCTAAACGGTTGATTTTACAGCAAAACAAATCATACATTCATTTCTTAGTTTTTCATAAACTATCATTTGACTCTAATTTTGAATTTAATCCATGATTAAAAATCCCGGTTTTATTTTAATCTCCTGTTAAAGTTTAAGTTGGTGTCAAATGATATAGTTTATGAAAAGCTACAGACGAGAATGTAAAATCGGTTTTGCTTTGAAATTAACCGTTTAGGTTTTACAGCGTGTCAAGGTTGCAACAAAGCCAATTTCCAACTGTCGATATTTCCGAAACAGTTGAAGATAGGTATATGACATGGGTACATTCAGGCGCTGCTCAGCCACTCAGCAGGGACTTTATTCTCGAAACCGAGGAAAAGCGTTCTTCTGAGAACGATTGCTCTGTCATTGTTAGTGAGTGTTATGGAAATATGAAAACGGACGACGAAGACAGAACCTTGCTTCCCATGAGAACGCTGCTCCCCTGTTTCGAGAATAAAGTTCCTGCTGAGTGGCTGAACTTAGCCGCTGGCACCGCCTGAATGTACCCATTGTACATGGAATATGTTTGGAATTTTACCATAGTTTAAAATTTTGGAAAATTTTTAAAAAACTTCATGATGGTTCAATACAAGTGTTAACGGAAGCTCCAAACACACACTGAGCAGTGTGTTTAGAGCTTCTGTTAAAAACTTGTGTTTTTCAGAAGAAAAATTTCAGAGGATGTCAATACATTGAAAACCCCCACTTTATTTGAGTTGCACATAAAACTTTTTTTAAAAATTATCAAAAACAATAAATTTAACAATAAAATGTTTTAAATTGGGGTTAAATCAAAATACTGCACACAAATGATTTGAATTTTTTCAAGCAGTCTGTTCGATTATTTTGTAAGCACTTACAAGTAACTTTTCTCAGGTTAGACAAATTCATTTAATTATCTACCAGTGACTGGTAATACTTTTTTCTCAAATTAAAAATACAATTTTTCATTAACTAATAATTGCTTTGGTTTCTTTTTACCTGCATTAAAAAGGCGGCGTGTTATTAATTTTGACAAGTAACGGCAAAAAAAAACTTGATACTTATCCAAAACATGGTTTAATAATTAGGTAATAATTAAAACATTAACTTATTTGAAATACAAATTTATTAATGATCATAAATTATCAAACAAATTTAATGTGAAATGATTTGTGAATGAAGTACAAAATTCTTAAACTAAAACTCTTAAAACCCACTTTATATTGGCATTTATTATGCGGTTTGGAAACAAAATTATATATGTAATTAGAGTGGAGTTTAATTTGTTCATATTACCTATTATAAATATCTCATAAATGGGTCAACACAAAACTTAAATATTGAATAACATTTTTACTTTGTACCAGTTGATAAGAGAGCTAAAAGTCCTGAAGCTGTTCCAATAGACAAAGTGTAGTTAACAGATGGAGAGAAAGATCTGAGGATGTAAAAACTGGCCACAATTACTATGGTTAAGAATATGGCATTGTTGTGGAAGATTGAGTAAGTAGTTGCTTCGAAATCAGCTACTTCATTTTTTTGCCAAAGGATCCTTTCATCTTTTTCTTTCTTGCTCATTTTCTTGTCGTCGGATAGCTTCTTTAAAAGCTCCCTTGTGACTGCGTCTTCTCTCTTCATAGCAATTTTATGTTTTAAGGTGAATTTAGTGTTTCTGTAAGCAATGGCAAGGAGGTAAGTCGATAAAGCTGTTACAACAACAAACAGGATAAGAGATGAATAAATTTCCATCATGTGTATCCTCCAGAATAACCATATTGGCACAGCAGAAACAATGAAAGCATTGCCATAAAATAGGGCAGATGATTTGGTAGAAACGTTCCTGCTAAAATCTTGTAGCAGAAGTTCTTCTTCTTTGGTGAAGCCTTTGTTTTGCGATTTGGACATTGTAATGACTTAAATTCACTTTACTTTGCTTAGCACTTTAAAATTGGAGAACTTCAACAGCGAACTGACTCAAACTGAACTAAGGAATTGAATTTTCCCTCAACAAAATTCTTTTCACGTTTCCACGTCCACAAGAAACCAACCTGTTTTCTCCAACACGGCATAACAGAGCAATGCTGATTGGCAGGGTTGCCAACATGAACTAATTCCTTGAAAATTCGTTAAATGAAATCTGATAATTTGAAAGAAAAACCTCCCAGAGTGGAAAATATAATAAAATGTATGGTTTTAAATTTAATTAATCTGATTTTGGGCATATAATTATACATACAGTACTCTATTTAAAGAAGTTTTGATGTCAGGCTTACACTGCTGCACTGCTCACAGTAAATATAAATGGGGAATCTGGCAACGCTGAAAAGAACACGTTGGATTTCACAGGTGACGACATCTACGTTCAGACTCAGATACTAGTTTATTCCTTTCAACAGAACAGTTTAGAACACTAGAGCTAGTCGCTCTATCTCTAGGAATAGTGCGTGACACCCCGGAGCTGTTCCGGAGTTCCTCCTAGGTGTGAAATGAATACCAACTAAAGAAATAACAAAATTATCCTGTTGTTAGTTGCAACGCTACCTTCTAGATCGCTGTAGTTCTATTTTGTAAAAAAAAATAAACGTTTCATATCTGCAAGCGACTCCGAGACACTCGCACTTTTTAGGCGGCTGGTTCATTTTAGTAGGTGCATTTGACTGGCGATTGGCGAGACGTTTCCCCTTTCCTCTGAAGACTAACCACGGGTTTTTGATCTGACTCTGCGAATGTCAGACATGGAGCATTTGGATTTAAAAAAGCGTTCTCTCCGGGAGTTATTCCTTGCGTTCGGTATTTTCCTCAAAGAGCAGAGCGTGCTGAGCGGAGCCGTAATCACGTGACCAGTGAGCGAACAGAGCAGTTGAACGCTATATAAAAGTGCCAGAAATTTTAATAAACGAACGCGAATGAGGCTGCACCGAGTACACTTTTTAAATAAACGAACGGTAAAGTCAAGCTCGGAGAACTCGGACCAAAATAACGAACGCACGGATAATCGACTCTTAAGCCTAGTCTCCATGGACGCGAAATCGCGAATTTTTTTTTGCGGATATTTTCCGATTGGTTGGAATTTGACATTTAACATTTGATTTTTTTATGGCGGGAAAAATTCTTCGCGAATTTTTTAACTTCTTGCGGCGTCGCAAAAAAGTTAACTATTTTTTAACTTTCCGCGAAATTTCGCCAAAAAAAATGAGGTTATGTGGTGTTACTTTCAGTTTAGTTTTGTTTATGTTTTTGTTGGTATGTGCTCTGTTCTCTGTGAGTCGTTGATGTGTTTTGTACTTGTAGATACCTAATAAAGAATGGATACTGCCAAAGAATTGAATATTGTAGACCCGAAAACAGACATAAATTACAGCTTGCTGGTCGATGAGGAAGATTATAATAGGGCCTTAAATGTAATTAAGACAACACCAAGACACATATCTTTTTTTGTTTTTTAGTAATCACTTTCATGGTTTTCAAAGATTAGTGTTTGAAATTCAAAGCATTTAAATCGAATTCAAATTGATTACAAACAACAACACATAGGTAACCTTAACCTGTTAAATAAAACGCGAATTTCGCGCTTATGGAGACATGGGAATAATTTGCTCGGAAATAGCCACCAAAAAATGACACTTAAAAAATTCGCTTTCCGCGATTTCGCGTCTATGGAGACTAGGCTTTAAAAAGAACGGGACGAGACGTCACCATCAAGGGTGCGTTCGAAAATGCACCAAGCATTACTTGGGCTGAGTTCGGCTTTGCACTCCACGGAACGGAAAGGTATGAGCATGGATATCGTGACGCAGAGTGCGCCCTGAACAGGGTCATAAGCCGAATGCAGATCGAGAAAAACATCCTGAAACCCGTGTCACAGTTGTCACTAATCTCAAAAAAAAAAAGAAATTGTTTTGTTTTGAGTTTAATTTTATTTTAACCCGAACACAAAAGAGAACACTTTGAGAGCTAGCCGAACTCAGTGTAAAGCGAACAAAGCCGTTTTATCGCATCTATTTTTTTGAAATTGGTTCAAAACCGGTTTGAAACAGTCAATGGGAACACCATTGCCCATTTCAAACCTGTTTTGAATTAATGTCAAAAAAGTGGACGCGAGGAAACGGCTCAGCAGATGTTAATCCCCGGTTAGCTTTGCGTGCTGGTAAAAAATATTCGGGATTTATCCTAGTGTTCGCTCTGTGTTACCCATCAGGTTGATCAGTTAATTGATGGTCAATAGTAAATTGGTTAACGAGTGACAAAAACAGCATTTTTTACAACAAGAAAACAGTTTACAAGCCGAGTTTGGTACTGTTTTCAAGTTTCAAAAAATGATTTTTGTCGAGTAAAACACTATACTTTTTCTATGACCATAGGCGTTTTCTTGCGTCTCAAATGTTTCAAAACATTTTTCAAAACTGGTAAAGTAATGGTTTGAAAACGTGCATTGGACTGTATTTCGAAACGGTTTGAACCAGTTTTGACGTGACGTCATAGGTTTATCGCGAGAATGTACTGTTTCAAAATAGTTTTGAACCAGTTTCAAAAAAGTGGACGCGAGAAAACGCCTCAAGTTTTGTTATTTTTCAATTGCTATACAATTAAAAGTAAATATTACAGTGACTCTATACGCGTAAATATGAATTTTCACAGGGAGGGGTTTCTATTTGGTTTGATAGATGCCGCTTGAAAACGTGAATCAATACAGTGACTCAATAAACCATTGTGGCGACAATTATTGCCGTCCTATTTTTGATTGGTTCTTTAGAATCCTATGTATTCATATCGAAAATGAGCAAGAATATGGCGGAGGGACGTCTATTGTCGCTACGGTACTATATGTAAAGGTTAAGGGCCATATTCTCCGTAGTTCATAAAGCCTGGCTTAGTGGAATTGCTTGGCTTTTTGTGTGACAAAGCCGAGCTTTTCCACGCCAGGCTTTATGAACTACGGAGAATATGGGGCCGTTAATGAGTCACAGTGATTTTCGCTACAGTGACTCTATTACCACTTTGGCGACAATAATCGTCGTCTCATTTTTGATTGGTTCTTAAAATCCTACATATTTATATGGAAAAGGCCGCCATTTTGTGCCCTACCTCTTGCTAATTTTAAATATGAATATAAAGGATTTAAATGGACATCTATCATAAAAAATTGAAAATAACGTATTTGATGTACCTAATAACCGCTGTGAGGGAATATTTTTCACTTACATTCGCCGAGATCCAAATAGGTTGCTGGTACCCAGGAGCGGCTAACTTCTAATACAGCTCAAGGGATTTTGTACTTACTGTTTTCGAAGGACCAGGTGAAAGCACCAAGGAATTGTCTCAACAATAATCAGCAAATTTATTTTCTGAATAAACTGCGCGAAATATACAAATACCTTAACGTTTAAAATCACAATTATACTAGAATAAGAGAATAAAGGCGTTTCGGATCAGTAGCTTACAACTTTGCTGTGAGAAGTGCTGAAAGGAGGATTAGAGAGAGGAATTCCCCTTGAAGTCTTTTTACTATTTGACAAATTATTTCAACTCATTGACTTTTTCTTTTTCTGGTGCGGGAAACGACCAGTCAGGTGATTACCGCCACCTAGTTACCTTTTTGCACCACCTGTCCCACCAATTGCAGCAGAAGTTAGGTAATACGGTTATTCTATCCAAAGTGTAAAAGCTTAATAACCAAAGCATGATAAATAATGTAAATTTATATGTAGTGTTGTGAGTTATTTCACAACATATTCCCCCCCTTGGGGTAACTACCCCAAAATAGAACCCTTCAACTTGAAACAAACGAGAGCTCCTCAAAAGTAAATTTAGTGTTGCACATGGTTCGCATAAGATGATGTTTTGCGCTTTTTATTGCTGCCTCCCATATTCCTCCAGAATGTGGAGACCCAGCAGGGATGAACTTCCAAGTAATGAGATTGGCAGAAGAGAACTCCTTTACTGCGTCCGAATTTTCGCTTTGCCATAAAAATGAATGAAGTTCATGCAGCTGATTGCGAGAACCCACAAAATTTGTAGCATTGTCAGAAAATATAATGCTAGGATTACCGCGCCGAGCAATGAATCGTTTAAGAGTAAGAAGAAATGATTCCGTCGTGAGACTGGACACCAATTCGATGTGCATTGCCCGTGTAACCATGCAAACAAAAATGGCCATATAGCACTTTCCAATCGGAGCCTTTCGAAGAAGTGAAGTTTTATAAGGAAAGGGTCCACCAAAGTCAATACCAACATTGGTAAATAGACGAGAAATTTCTACTCTTTGTTTTGGCAAGTCTGCCATTATTTGACAAGACTCCTGAGTTCTAAATCTATAACAACTATCTTTTTCACCTCTCGAAGACCGTCTAGTAGCCAATAGTGAAGCCGTATGTTAGAGAGGGTAGTTTGAGGACCAGCATGTAGGAGCCTCAAATGTTCTTTTCTGAGAAGTAATCGAACTGTATGATTTTTAGATGGTAGAAGTATGGGAAATTTTTGATGGTACGGGATATTTGCATTTGACAATCTTCCACAAACTCGCAGGATATTTTCAGAGTCTAGAAAGGGGTTTAATTTTTGAAGCTGTTTATTAAAAGTTTGACCTTTGGTCTTTAGATTGTTTATTTCCTGTTTGAAACATGTGCGTTGAATAACATAACTTATCTTGGTTGCAGCATTTCGCAATTCTGAAACCGAGAGGGGACCTAATAACCGTTTTGAGAATTTTCTTGTAGAGTTGATAAATCTGAGACAGTAAGCTATGACTCTTTGGAGACCAGTATATTTTGAGAAGTTTGAGAAGATATCATGAAGTCCAGTATGCAAGTTTTCGATTACATAAGTAGTTTTTCGTTCTTCAGGGAGATTTCTTACATGTTTATTGAATTGAAAATTATCTAAGTTCAACTTTGGATCGGATAAAAATTGGGGCCCATGCCACCAAAGAGCACAATTCAAAATTTCTGATGGAAGTGAACCTCTGGACAATAAATCTGCTGGGTTTTGCTTAGACCTGACATGTTTCCAGGAGAAATCCGAAGTCGCATCCTGTATCATGGCCACACGATTTGCAACAAATGTTGACCACCGTGAGGGGTGCGATTTCAGCCAAGCAAGAACTATTTCCGAGTCTGTCCACAGAGTTACGGAATCTATTTCGCAGAAATTTGTACCACATTTAAGTACTGATATTATTTTTGTAACCAAAGTTGAGAGAAGAACACAACCCATCAATTCCAGCTTGGGGAGAGTAATTATCTTCAATGGCGAAACTCGACTTTTCGCACTCATGAGAGTAGATTTA